GCCCACTCCCCTCCCAGGTGAACATGATTGTGCTGGACAAGGACCTGGGCATCCCCAAGCCTTTCGGGCCCCAGATAGAGGAGGAGTGCTGCCTGGAGACACATGTTCGAAGCCTACTGGAGCCCCTGGGCCTTGCCTGCACTTTCATTGACGACATCTCTGCCTACCACAAGTTCCTGGGAGAGGTTCACTGCGGCACCAACGTCCGCAGGAAGCCCTTCACCTTCAAGTGGTGGCACATGGTGCCCTGACTGGCAGGGGCCCTGGCCCTCCCTCTTCCCCTGTAATCTCCAGGTCCTTCCTGTGCCCCCAAGTCCTCTTGTGCCTTGCTGTCCCTGGATAAGGGCCTCAGTGTCCACTGGAGTCACCCCCAGTAAGCCCAACCATCCCCCTGGAAACAGCTGGACTCATGGCTAGTGTGCAGAGCTCTGGCAGGTAAAACCAGACTTCATGTAGTCAGACCATTGCTCAAGAATTCTCAGCCTCTGTTCTAGATCAGAATGAAGGGAGAGAGAAAGGAGACTCTGAGGTCACTGGGTCTTCCAGCACCATTCTCTGATAATCAAGGTAGACCGCGGGGCCAGGGTCCACCGCAGACCGCGGGGCCAGGGTCCTGGTGGACCTTGGACAGCACCATCATCTCACTTTCGCCTCCCTCCAACCATTCATTCCTCATTCACCTTCTCCCGGCTTCCTGGACACAGTCCCCATTCCCTGAGGGTCCAATCGTTCTGCTTAGAATCTTCTGGAAATAGATATTAGCCAAAGAGAGTCCTTCACCCGCTGTGGATGCAGGCTGCCCAAATTTGGGGAGCTGTAGTGATAGATTGTGTACCCCAATAAACTTGCATGGGGATTGGAGGACAGAGCCAGCCACTAGATTAGACATACAGGCCAGACAGTGGTAGCACACACCCTTAACCCTATCACTCAGGAGGCAGAGGTCCATCTGCCACACTGGAAACGGAGCCAGGCAGTGGTGGCACACACCTTTAGGGGGCTCTCTCCCCAGACCAGCATCTGCGGTCCAAAGTTCAGTATGTAAAGATGCCCTCATCTATCAATGCTATTACATTTCTTATCTGGTCCTCGATTCTCTAGCCAGTCCATGGGCCCCTCTTCCCACCATCCTTCCTATTCTGGACACTGTCCCCTCCAGACAGCTACATAGTTTCTTTGCCACTAGCCAGATTTGGACCTTCCCAGAGCCTGAGAAATGACCTATCCCTCCTCTTGGATGTTGGCCACAATGTCCAAGGCTGCTGATCAGGCTCCAGCCTCAGCAATCAGTTCTCAGCCAGCTACTGCCTGGGAGATGGAATTCCCCAGCACACTTTTCCAAGTCCTTCCATCCAGATACAGGTAAATGTGTCCTCTGCTTCAATTAGAAAAGTCCCCGGAGCTGGAGAGCTCCACAATTAAGAGAACTTGGGAAAAGGACCCAAGTTCAATTCCCAACACTCAGAACTGTCTATAACTCCAGATCCAATGGAGCCAATACCCTTTCTGTCCCTTGATGGCACTGCGCACATGTGCACATAGCCATATACATAATTAAAAATAAAATTTTTTAGGGTATGGAGAGACGGCCCAGTGGTTAAGAGCACTTGCTGCTCTTGCAGAGGACCTGGGTCCAGTTCTTAGCACCCACATGGTGGGTCACAACCACCTATAACTCCAGTTCCGGGAGATCTAACGCTCTTATCTGACCTCCATGAGCTTCTGCACACAGATGGTACACATACATACACTCAGGCATGCACACATACAAGTAAATAATATTTGAAACATAAAATTATTTAGATAAAGAAGGTCCTTTAGGGGCAGGAATATGGGAAATATTAATTCTGCTTTGAAGGGTTAAGCAGTCCCATTTTATAACGAAGAAAGGGTTACAGTCATACATTCTTAAGGAAACAGGATTTTTACCTTGGATTATTCCCTTGGCTATGCAATCAACATTGGTTGCATGCTACTGAGCAATAAGCACAGACTTGGGCTCTGACAACACAAGCTAGCCATAGACTCGGCTTGTCCCCGACAGGCAAGATCCACATTTTAACCCTTTGCCCTTGCCGTGGTGGGCTCTTTAGAAACACTACCCAGTGTATTGAAAAAGCATCCAGGACACCAGTCACTGCCTGGAAGAAATAAGAGTGTGTCTTCTGTAAACAGACCCCTGGCCTTTCCATCCAGCTGGGCCTCCAGCACCGTGTCTGGTCAGGCCACAGAGCCTCCAAAGCTGTCATCCTCCTGCCTCTGCAGAGAGTGGCCCCTGCCCTGGGGGTAAAGCCCCAAATCCTGCCTCCAGCTCTAGAGCAGAAAACACATGCACCTTTCCGGGGGAGCTGCCGTGGGGATGTGGAGTTTGACATGTGTGGTGTTCAGTTAGAGTGGCTTTGTGGTTTTTATTTTTATCTATGTTAAGGGGAAGTGAGCGCCTCCCTCTCGGAGGCTGCTTGTCTTTGTAGATTGTGCTATGGTTCTCCCTGGCAGCGTTGGTTGTTTCAGAAATTTCTGGAACTCCAGGACTCAGACACTGCCTGTCCCATCACACTTACTCACCAGTGTGACTCCCTCCGGTGTGACTCCCCTCAGTGTGACAACTCCCAGTGTGACAACCCCCCCCCGGGGGGGACCCCTTGCTCTTCCTCACCCCCACTTTCTTTAACATGGGCCTAGGTGCTTCTGGGCTGTGCCAGTTCCTGTTTCAGTGTCGATTTTGAAACAGTCTGTGAAGGGCAGAGGGATGGTGTGAAGATGGCGAGAACCAGGCAGTTTCAGCTTCCTGGAAAAGGAGCCAAGATGGAGACTGTAAAGTGTTTGGGGAAGAGCCGAAATAAAGAGCAATAAAATGAACCGCCATGACTCTGGGTGTGGTATTCTTTTCGACTTCCTAGACATGATCACAAGTGATCTGGGTCACATGTGGCCCCTCGTGGTCACAAAACGCCTACTGTTGGGCTCTATGTGCCACTACCCAAGGTCACGAGCAGTATCTACAGTGATGTAATCATGTTTTAAAGGTGAGTTTCCCCAGATGCAGACAGTGAGATGAGCATTTGAGAGCCAATGACTTGATAGGAACATACCTCCAGGAGAAACGGGTCCAGGAACCAGGGGAACGGGGTGTTGGAGAGGAAGAAGTGAGCAAGGGTGTAATTTCAGGGGCTAGTTCATCCCAGTACCCCCTGTGAGCCCTTGCATGCCAATGGCCCCTGGAAGCTGATGCCCATGGAGCCCTGGTCCCTCTGCATCTGACCCACAGGGCACTGACTCTGTTTCCTTTGGTACTTGATGGGCAGAGCCACCAGTAGCCCACACAACATCTAAAGAAGGCACCTGCTGCATTAAGAACAGAGTGGGGAAGGGGGATGGCTGGGAAGATGGCTCAGTGGTTCGAAGCACTTACTGCTCTTCCAGACGACCCGGGTTCGGTTCCTAGAACCCACATAAGGTGGCTTACTATGACTTCTGGCCTCTGTAGGCACCTGCATACACACATGTACATACAAATAAATAAGTAAAATGATAAATTCATGTTTAAAAAGAATGTAGTGAGACCAGTGAGATAACTCACCAAGTATAGGTGCTTACTGCAAGCCTGGTGACCTGAATTTTGTTTCTGGAACTACTGCAAAGATGAGAGGAAAGAATGAACTATACACAGTTGTCCTCTGGCTGCCACATGCATGCCGTGGCATATGAGTCTACATGCACAGTAGTAGTAGTAATAATAATAATAATAATAATAATAATAATAATAATAATAAAGACCTAGCTGGATGGTGGTGCTGCACACCTTTAATCCCAGCCCTCAGGAGGCAGAGGCACGTGGATCTTATAAATTCAAGGCCAGCTTGGTCTATATAGCAAGTTAGTTCCAAACCAACCAGAGCTAAACAGTAAGCCCCTGTCTCAAATAAATATAAATAAATAAATAAATAGATGCATCAATAAACAAAGTCATGACATTTAAGTGCTCACTGACTACAAGTATCTACATATTGGGAGGCATAGTTCTAGAATCTTCTCTGACAGGTTTAGCCCCACTTATGGCAAGAGATACTTTTATTCAATCCCTAGAGTTCAGTTAGTCTGACTGCCATAGTTAATCAGAGCTGATTGCTATAACACAGGAAAGAGAAGTGCAATGAACATCAGCCCTTTCCCTTCCAGAAAGTCCTCTTGCCCTAAACCATGGTCATACCGGTGTCAGCAGGACCAGCCTCTCTCTTAGGAAGATGGAGAGGGGTGTGTGTGTGCCTTTGGCTAAGTCACTGCTGCCCTCCGTCAGGATGGAAAGCCCCACCATCTTGTGGGAAGAAAAACCACGACCCCTCACTTCGGCCCTCTTTCTCCTCATATATCCAGGATACAATTGATTCTGTGTTTTAATGTCAAAGGTTGTCGTGCAGGGAAGAGGAGGTCCTTGCTCTCAGTCTTCTTTCTCATCATCATCTTTTGCATGGGTGCTTTGTCTGCAAGTATGTGTGTGCACCACATGCATGCAGTGCCTGCAGAGGCCAGAAGAGGGAGCTGGATCCCCTGGCACTGAGTTACAGACAGTTGTGAGCTGCCATGTAGATGCTGAGAATCTAACCCGGGTCCTAAGGAAGAGTAGCCAGTGCTTTTACCTGCTGAGCCATCTCTCCAGCCTACAGGTCATCTTTGTTACAACCCTGGTCATGACCCAAGAGATCCATTCAGATGCCGACAAGAGATGGAAGATCAGTCTGTTTCTTCCTTTTCTCGTGTCTTTATTAAAGATGCAAGGAGAAAGACCACCTACCCAAATCATGATGGCCAAATTAACTGAAGCAAGCAATTAATTAAAGCAAGCCTTTTTTTTTAATGTGTGTACATGGGCTATCTCTCCCTAAGGTAGAGTTCAAGAGGTCATCATTGGACACGAGGAAGACAAGGTTTTTATAGCTCGGGGTAAGGAGTTTCCAAATGGGGGGGAAATAGGCAGGGTTACAGGAGCAGGACACAAGCCTAACAAGTGAATCTTAACAACCTCTTGAGACAAAGACATGATTGAAGGTGGTCACAACAAGGGAGTCCTAAGAAAGTAGTCACAACAGAAAGAAGTCATACTAACCTTTTGAAACAAAGTGGGATTGCAAGACGGTCATTATAGCTTTTTGAGACAAAGGCAGAGTTGCGGTTTCCTGGTCCAGGCAGTCCAGGACCATTTGTAGTTATGGTTACAGCTGGGGCACAGCCCAATCCTTGAGAAACAGAGGTTTAATCATAAACAGGAATGAGCCTTGCTGCCTTTACTATAAGATGGTTTTTAAACCTAATTGCAGACAGGCTGGTTCATCGCTTATTTTCTGTCTTTTTATTTATTTATATGTTATTTATTTTTATAGACCAAACACAGATTTATTAGGAAAAGTGAAAAAGAACTATGCTTTATTTTCTTCTTTTCTTTTTTGGTATTGGAGATTGAACCAAAGGTCTCACATTCTAGGCAAATGCTCTACCACTAAATGACACCCCCTCCACCTAACGTCCTCTTCTTTTCTTTCCTTTCTGCTTCTGAGACTGGATCTCTAGCCCAGACCAGCCCTAAGCCCCCTGTGCAGCCAAGAATGATCTTGAACTTCTGATCCTCCTGCCTCCACCTCTCGGGAACTGAAATTACAGGCATGCACCACCATGCCCAGTTTATGCAATGCTAAGAACCGAACTGGCGTTCATGCATGCTAGCCACATCCCCACCCCAGACACTTCTTAAACACTTCTTCTTGAGACAGGGTCTCACTGTGTAGCCCAGGCTGGCCTCAAACTTTCAGTCCTCCTCTTCTCATTGGGATTATAGGCTTATGCTGCTCTGTTTCAGCATGCCAAGTGCCCTATTAGAATGTTGCTTACAAACAAGATGCCTTTGAGATCTTGGAGGGCAGCAGCGCCAGAAGCAAAGTAGCTTTGCAGAGTTCAGCATGTGCCCAGGGGAAGATGGCATCTCTTAGCTATGAGAGTCATTACTAGCCACTCATTCTTTCTTCCTCAGCACTTGCTACACATCTTTTGTGTTTGCAACCAGAACACTGATAGGATTTTTCATCCAAAGCAAGACCTGGACCATAC